GATTCTGTTTTAATTTCATATGTATTTTCTTGAATAGGCGGCAAAATACAGCTTAACATATGTTATGATTTTCTACGCAATCATATCGATGTGCAGCGCCTTTATGTCACTCCTATTACCGGAGACTAAGAACAAGGAATTGCCGGACACTTTGGCTGATGTCGAGTATATGGATAACGATCATACATTTGCTGTGGAGAACGGCGCCGACCAAAGCGGACTTCTCGACCAGAAAGTCTGATTCATTGCTACTTTATATGCAATTATAATTATATAACAAATAATTAAAATGACCTCAAATTTATTAATAATAAACAATATAATAATTGTCATACACATAGACATGTCATAATATTATCCCATTGCTTCTCATATTTATAAATAAATCATTTTCATAATTTTTAATGCTTGTTATTAAATAAGCTATATAGAATAACCTTTAAAAATATTATAATTGTAAAACTGTTTGCCTTAATAATTTAATAAATTTTTATAATGTTGATTAATTGTATAATGCTATTATTTAATAAAATTTATTTAATGTCTAATAAAATTATTTTCTATTGAACAATCAATTAAAGTTATTAATACTCTGCATATAGAAAGTTTAAAAATACTTTTACAGTAATAAAAAATAAATAATTACTTAAGTAATTTTTAAAATTTAAAATTAATTACTCCAATCTTTCACTAGTTAACAGTATAGTATTGCAGGTATTTTGTTAGTATTAAAGTAGTACGATATTACAATCTACAATCTATGTATGATTACTTGAATAAAAAGTCATATTTTATAAGAATATTCATTCTCAGCAAATAATTATTCAGTATAACTATTTTAATTATCATGAATATAATGTTGTATAGAATTAATGGAAAATGGTCAAAATAATTACACTTAATTTATGTTCGATGCATAGTATTATAAATTACATGTGCTTTTTATTTGAATTAATTCAAAATATAAAACGCAAAGTATAAATAAATCAATTTTAATTGAATATAAGAATTAAAATATTCATTTATTAAGTACTGATATTCATTAATAACATTTCAGCAGAAATTATTTGAAAACAAAATCATCATTAATACATAATGGTGTAGTAAAACATAAGGTATATTAAAAATTACAAGATATTTATCAAAATATTTCATTGTCATCAAGGGCATTTATATCAAATACAGTAGTTATACAAGTAGGAATGTCTCACAATTTGTTTTTTGTGTAAACTTATGTTATTGTGTTTTTGAGATCATATCGTTATTAAGCCTAAGAATGCCGTTAAGTAAACGTAAATCTGAAGAAGTGGTGACCGATAGCATACAGTTTGATCCCAAGGCTCTGTTACCGGAGGGTTTGCGGATCGAGTCGTCGGGCGCCCACCTCTATCTAATTGGTGCCACATTTTACAAGAACGGAAACCTCAAGAGATCTAAACTACACCATCCGGTCTTCGTGTTCATCACAACACTGATACTTCTCATCAGATTTTCATACAGTGTTAGCATCGATGGCAACAGACCCGAGCGCTTCTACCTATTGATTGGCGATTACGGCTACTTCATGAACATGCAGTTCCACCTCAACATGACGGCCGCACTCGTCTACAACATGTCTGTCTGGACACAGATCTTACACTTTTACTTATGGGTCACCAAAAGGGAACCAACTTATTTGAAAGTCTTCCATATGATGGCCGGATCCGTTACTCCCTATTCCATTGGTCTGTCCGATGAGACTATTATCCGCAATCTTCTCAAGAAAACGAGTTTTATATTCAAGAGCCAGGATTTCTTGAGTTATTCCATGACTTCGTGTTCTTTCTTCATATCATTCTTCTCGTACATATGGAGAGTGAGTTTCATTGATTTCCTAGTATTAGGTATACCCCACACCCTCCACTTCACGCTGGGCTCGTACTTCATATTCAGAATCCTAACCATTCATATCCTCTACTTCTATATTCTCTCGTATTATCTGAAATCCAAGCAAAAAGAAGTCAACAATCATTTGCGATACTGTATTCAAAACAAGGAGAAGATTAAGATTTTAAACTCCGATCGCGTGACCCACGCCTTGAACGCCATATACCTCGAGGTCATGGAAATTGACTCAAACTTTTGGTCCAAATTCTTGGGCATCGTATGGCTGACCAGTAGTGCCGTCATTGCGCTCATTATATTTATGTTCACATTTGGCTACCAGAATATGTCGGTCAACATCACCATAATCCTGGTCTACGCCACCTTCTTCTTCTCACTACTTCTCATCATTTTGATCGACACGTGCGCCTCAGTGAACCTCGAGGCCAAGAAGGCCTACAAACTACTGGCCTCTTATAAGTTGGTTATTATGAACACTCGTCAGTCAGTCCTTCAAATGGCCAAACATGGGTTCAAAGTAAGCAACAAACTGTACTTGTTTACCATGTTTATTATTGCGTTATCCTTATGATTGATAGTAACTTATTAATGTTGAATTATTTTGTGGTCAAAAGTTTTTGCATTTATTTGAGAGGATAGGACTTCGTAAGAAAAATAAAGTTGGCTTTACGTGCGGCAAACTATTCATTATAAACTACTTTCGAGGTTATGAGGTATTTGAATGTTTGATATTTTTTAAAGATATTGTTTTCATTTATAAAGTAACGTCAACTATTCAAAGTAACAAGATCGCTAGTGTTTAATAAATATGTAAAATATTGCTTAAATGTATTGATAGGTGATTGCATTGTGTGCTATAGTGCTGTTAAGAATCATTCAAATGGAGACAACCAAACGCAGTGAACGGTCACAACAAACTCATTTGAATTCAATATAGCTTAAAACTCACCCTCATCAACTCACTATTCAATAATGTTATTTTTCTTATTTGTAATTAATTTTTGTCAATATCTTATTCAGTACAGTGTTTTGTTGGCAGAAACAGTGTACTGAACAAGTTATTAATATTTTAGGGTTCAGGAAAATCCTATAATAGAGATAAGAAAAAGTATTGTGAATATGAGTTAATTAATAAGTATTGTAATGTTACTAGATTTGTAGTATAATCATAAAGTCAATATAAGTTAGATGTAGACTTCATTTCCTTTTATTTTGTTGGTGTTTATCACTAGCTACTATTATATTAACAATCTATATTCATAAGTAGTAAGTTTTAAGATATAACTCATATATTTAAGTTATTATTATACGATGTGTTAAAATCATAGCTTTTTAGGAATCTTTGAATGATATTAGTTAAAATGAATGTAAAATGTTATTTAATTTATTTGTGTCTAGCTAATGTAGCTAATAGTTTAAATTTGATAGGCAAATCATTTATTATATTTTCGGAAACCGAAAAAGATATAAGAATTGTAGACATAAGCGATAGAAACGAGAAAATGTCATTCAATTTGAATGAATCGAGTGTTTTATTAAAGAAACAATATTTAGTGTATGGCATAGACTATAGTATTTGTGGTAATCTATTGCTTGTGAACAATCAGCGCTCAAATCTGGTCTCACCTTTCGATTCAAACCAAATAAATAGTCTCAACATTAGTCGCCAACAGGTCTTAAACCGACAAAAATACCACTTCTTGTCTCGCATTGCGTTTGATTGGATCCATGAGCTGTTGTACTGGACGGACGACACGAGTATTGAAGTGATATCAATACGCAAACCTTTGCTGCGATATGTTTGCGTGGAAAATGGTTTCGATGTCATCAGAAACATAGCCATCGATCCGTTAGAGTCGCTATTATTTTGGATTCAATGGCAGGAAAGTGGAGACAACGATCAGATTATGCGCTCAACACAAGTGGGAACCGACATCAAGGTGGTGGTCGACTACGACCTCAAGTACACGTATGCCCTCACCCTTGACCTCAACTCGAAGACTATCTATTGGATTGACTCACAATTATATAGCCTCTCATCCATTGACTATAACTCGCAAAACAGGAAAATTATGATCAGATCTTATGACCTATTCTTCACTGCCTATCGCATGGATGTGTTATCCGATTATATTTATTGGACTAATGATAGACACAAAGCTATACTAAGGACTCATAGGAGCGGTAGTAATGGCACCAAAAGATTCGTTGTCTTCAAGAGTGATGTCTTGATAGATGCCATCAAAATAGTGGACGAATCCAAACAACCGGTGACTCCTAATAGATGTCAAGACTCTAATTGCAGTCATCTCTGTCTACCGTCGGGGGTCAACTCATTCAGGTGTTTGTGTCCATCACTTAAATATTACGAATATTCCCCTCAAGAGAAATGCATATCAGATGTAAATTCATTTTAGTTATGTTACTCTTATGTGATTTTTACTTAATATAATTTGATATAACATAGGAATTGACTGAATTGAATGGATTGAGATCTAATTTGATTGACTCGTACGGACACAATCTGACGGTTATCAACACCTGCTCCACATTAACGGACAGTATATTCATAATTATATTGATTTTACAATTCGTTTTTATTATATATCTTTTACTAAAAGATAATTATTGTAGAAATTACTATTTTAGTAGATTTACTATTAATGATAACTTTAACTTATGAATCTAATCACATTTATCTATAAAATGGTTATTTCAACTGTAAACTAATTAAGTCTTAAATTACTATTCATTACATTTGTAAATTAAGTAAATTATGAAATTCTCTTGTTTTCAATAAATAATTTTTATTTGAAAAATATTTGAATGTTTGCCGACAAATGGATAAATAATTTCAAAGATATGAATGAAATGTCGCTTTTATTGCGTGACTTTTTGGGGCATAGCCTTCATCTCATCCATGACTTTCTTTGGCGTAATGTCATAACAATAGGCGATAACTCCGACGATTAGAGCGGTCGCACCGATGGCCAGCCATGTCTTGGTGTATAAGCCGTAGTATTTTTTGGGTTTCCCCCGATTTTTGGGAAAGAGTCCAAACTTTTTCTCAAAAACCATTTGTTTTAGATCTGGATTTCATTCAACACTGATATCAACGTAAAAATATCTGATCTTTTATTCCTAATTTATACCGATTTGAATGCAATTTTGAAAATATATAGTCCGTGTGTTCATAACAATTATTGTATTTTATTGTTGTAATGTGTAATGTGTTATGAATTTGATGTTGACTCGTATGTTGAATTAAAGGCAGAATTATATACCCTTTTTGGTTCATCTTATGAACAAAATTCTTTACTAAATACTGAGACAATCACTGATAAAAAGACAATATTTTTAGTCAAAATAAAAGTCAGAATATTAAATTTAATATTGAGATCAACAGATTGTGTGGTGAAATGATTATTTAGAAATTGTAACAAATTTACAAATAAGACACTTTTGTATAACAAAATGACAACTTGAATGAAACAATGCTTTCCGTACTCTCGTGACCGGAGTCTCGTCGCGTGAATCGCTCACAAATTGACCAAAACTTGTGAATCAATGGAAAATCATTCAAAACTAAACCGTTACTTAACTCTTAGACTCTATTCTCAATTGTCTTTTTAAATTATTTCTTCGCTAAAGAGTTGATCCAAAGAAATGTTTTTATTCATTGCATTCCTTATCATTTCACCGCAGATTCACTTCATTGATGGCAAAGTGAATCCAAGTGTTGGGGCCAGAGGTGGACCACCAGCTGTTAACAGCAAAGGTATTGATGACAAAGAGGAGACTCCCAGTGCTGATGAGGGAGACAATGGCGGCTCAACCCTCGACTATGAGGCCATATTCTCAGCCCTCGATGTCATATCATCGGCGCCTATGGATGTCATGGGAACCCCTCAACGGATCGGAGACTTAGAGTTTGACGTCGAAGTGGACGAACAGATCCCAGAAAAGGGTCAAAAGGCACCGGAAGTGGATGTTGAGGACAATGTGAGCATTGATTTGACATCTGGTCGGAGAATCTCATAATAAATGCGATTATCATTTGCGTAGAAAAACAATCCGATGGGAGGCGACGGCCAGGTATTGACTGACGTATCCGTGGATTTGGTATCGAATTCGGCCAAAAGGATCGGTGACATCGAGTTAGACATGAATGTCATGAACTCCCGGACGCGACACCCGCACCACCAGAAGCCAAAGGTATATAACGATTAGATTTAGCGGTGAAATGAGTTGAACGGAAACCTCATTTGGTTTAGGAGTTGACCGAAGAGGAGGAGGACGTGACTCTACAAGTGGGCGCCGAAAACCCTGAACCCGTCAACCCTTCAAACGGGACTCCTATTGCTAATAACGACCAAATGGATCCCATTAAGGATACAGATTCTAAGGGTACGGACACAACTAAAACCTCTTCAGCCAGGGGTGCAAATGGCGGCGACTCTCAGAAATGGGCGCTTATTCTCATGGGTATTATCTACGTTCGTATGTCAATCACCGCAAACCCCTAATACCGGAGCCAACACTCAAAAGCTTAAGTCTAAGGGAAATGTTTACGCAAAACACCAATTCTTTCAAATGATTATTTTGTTTTGCTTTTTGAATTATATGTTATTTTCTTACAAATTATCCTAAATTTTATAAGTGAATATATATTTTATATGAATTTAATTTCTACGGCACTTATTTATTTCTATGCTATTTATATTGAGTTAAATTTTTGTAAAGTTTTGTACAAATCTGCAAATAAAATAACTAGAATCATTTGAATCAATAGCACATCTAAAACCAATTTGTTTAAACATTTGATTAGAAATTGAAATTTCATTATTTGACAGCAATATACTGTAAACCAAACAAACGGAAGGTATTACTAATAAGCGGTACTATTCAGATTCTGAATTTCAGAAATATAAAACCAAGGTAATAACAGATTGTGGCTTTGAATATGACATTAGTAGGTATAACGTCTGTATTTGTCAAAAGTGTGACAAACTGTGAAATGGCCTTAACTGTGGACAAGAGTCCGAACACTTACTAGACTGTCTAATGTTTTTGAGAAATGTCATATTTAAAGATAGCATAACGCTTATTAATTTTGATACACTATTTTGGTATAATTTAGGCCGATAAGTGCTTTTATAACTGCATTAAAGTATCTACGTTAGATCTCACTATTTGTATAAAATACTGAACAACTTTAGATGACCTTATCTTTAAATTAAAATTAGACAACTAATGTATAATTACCATATAGTATATGACATACTGTATACACTGTACACTATATCTCACTGTAATAATCGTCTCAAATTGAACCTCAAAAGTGAAGTAATAGTAAGGAGCCTTTTATTACAAACCAACGATTTAATCTTAAAAATTTAGGTATTAATAGTGAGAATATTTTGGTGATAAGTATACAAAAATGTCAATAAAGAATGAAATTTTTATTCCTGTATTACAAAATGTTCATAACTTGTATACCCTGGTCATAATTATATTGCAAAGACAGAACTGCGCGTTTTTAATGCACAGAAAATGTTATACTTTTTTCCAATGCTATCCAATGCAAGCACTCATTGATTCACTGCTTTACGACATTCACTGCAGTGCTTATCAATGATGCAGTGCTAGGAATGCATGAGTTTTCTGTGCATTAAAAACACGCAGTTCTGTCTTTGCAATATAATTATGACCAGGGTATACAAGTTATGAACATTTTGTAATACAGGAATAAAAATTTCATTCTTTATTGACATTATGGTGTACTTATCATTAAAATATTCTCACTATTAATACCTTAATTTTTAAAATTAAATAGTTGGTTTGTAATAAAAGGCTCCTTAGAAAACAAATATTAATAGTACAGTATTCTGTTTTAAATTACAAAATATATTCCACACTTTAAATTGATATTCATTATGATAATGATATGACAAAAGGTTTATTAGGCAATACTAAAAACGTGTACGTTTATATTTTTGCTTATGAATCTTACTAGTTAGTTATTCACAATAACTTATTGTACGAATGTATTATAACAATACTTTTTATAGAATTACAACACAAAGTACTGTTCAGTACATGTAATACAGAATAATACAAATAATACAGAATAATACACTTTTAAACAATATTCCCATTTAATTTACTTTAATTCATATTTCATGAAAATTAATCAGATGAATTGTATTATATTAAATTGAATAATGTTGGTAATATTTATTGGCAATCAATTATTGCATATACTATTTGATAGATAATTAACAGGCATTGGGATTCATTTAATTGAGAGATAAGTTGCACTTAATGTCAGTGAAAATAAAATTTATAAAAATTTATCTTAAAAAGCACCATGATATGATAATATGTACAGTTGTGACATGAATTCAATGATAGATTAAACCCAAAATTGTTTGTATGAAGTTTTAAAGCTATTTGATTAAAAATACAGTATAAAGAGGTTCACCGTATTTACTCAAATTAATAAATATCTGAAAGTATTGTAAAAACTTTGTTCAACTAATTCATTGATCAGGAAATGGTTGACAACCAGAAGTCAAATGTGAAACATGTCGCTGACATTGTGGGTGAATGGGGTAAATGGCAATTGCACCTGGTCAGTTTTTACTTTATTATGTGGGCAGTAGCCGCTATCAATAACATGGGATATAGTTTCCATGCTTATGATAATGATTTTTGGTGCAGTGATGTTCCTTACGATTATCCGGTAAAATATTTTTATGAGCAAAAATAAAATAATATTTTAATACTTTAAATTAATTTCTAATAAATAAAATACAATAATTTTAGAATAAAACAAAAGACATGAAATGTTTTAAATTTATGAATCCAAATGAAAGTTGTAATGAATGGCAATTCGATCGGACAAAGTTTGGAAACTCTATTAATAGTGAAGTAAATGCTTATTAATAAAACTTGTATAAAACATAACTAATATTAAAACAATAGTTTAATTTAGTATGTGACCGAGCTAATTTCGCGTCATTTTCGCAAACATTGTTTATGTTGGGGTACGTCATATCGGGACTGGTATTCTCTCATTATTCAGATAAATACGGCCGAAGACCTATTGTATGGCTGGGATTCACAATAGAGTTGACGGGCATATTGTTGTGTGCCGTCTCACCTAATATTTATTATTACTCAATCGCCCGATTTCTGGTAGGAATGGGAGGTTCTGGAAGGGGAATGGCTATGTATATATTATGTGAGTTAATTTTTATGATATTGGCAATTAGCAATTTTTATTTATTATTTAATCAATAGTATTAGAATGTTGTGGACCTAAGTACAGGTCAGACATCACTATTCTGGGTGGCATTGGTTGGGTCATAGGTTACGCTGGGATACCAGGGTTGGCGTATTGGCTGCAAGATTATAGATACATGCAATTTGCGTCATTAATACCATTGACTGTAATGTTATTTTGGTTTTATTTTCTGTATGAATCCCCGCGTTGGCAGATAACCAATGGACAGGTAGACAGAGCTGAACAGACTCTCAAAAATGCATTGAAAATGAATGGCAAGTCTAATGATAATCTAAAAACACAGGTGTCTGAGTTATTTGAATATCTGCAAAAGGTATGCATTGTATCTAAAAATATTAAAATACCAAATTCATTGTATAACGTTATATAAAAATACCATAACTTAAGATGCAATCAACTGAAAGTGCAAAACAAAAATACACAATATTAGACCTGGTAAAAACACCTAAACTTAGAAAAATAACATTTATAACATGGTTTTCCTGGGCAACAAACGCACTACTTTACTATGGGTTCAGTCTTAATATGTCTGAATTTGGTGGAAATTTTTACATAACCTTCCTATTGTCAGGACTGGTAGAGATACCATCATATATACTGCCCGCCATATTCCTTCGCTTTATTGGTCGCCGAATATTATTTGCAATATTTATGTTAATAACTGGTGTCTCGTGTTTTGCGGTCATCCCATCCACCAGTGAATGGCTTAAAGTGATGTTTGCATTATTAGGCAAATTGGGAATCAACAGCGCCTGGAATGTGATGTTTGTACACATTCCTGAACTCTACCCCACAGTCTTGAGGCAGAGGGGAGTGGGTGTCGCGTCTGTCATCTCAAGGATTGGATCCATTAGCGCAACATTTATGAAGAATTTGGTAATAATTATACAAACTATTAGTATCCTATTATTTAAATAATGATTTGTTTTATATATAAAGACGGCCACTAGTGGATTATCACTGGTTATGACACTGTACGGTACCCTCACATGTGTCGGTGCAGTGTTGGGACTATTTCTTCCCGAAACAAAGGGACGAGAAATTCCCGATACTATAGAAGAGGCAGAAAATGTTGACTCAATTCAATTGAATAACATTAAGGATAAACAAAATGAAAATAATGGAAAATATTAACTAATAATTTTATTTAACTTAAAAAATTATAAATTCTTATCAAAATGTTTTTGCAGTAATTCAGTATAAACTTATAACTGTATAAACTTTAACAATGTAAATGATATAATAACACAATTTTTAGTTTGTATCATTTTACATGCAATTTGATACTTTACATTATAAAACATTTATTTGAATATCCCATTTAAATTATGAATTTACAATTAATTCATATTTCATTAAAATTAATCACATAAATGTAATTGGAATATTTTAAATAAGTTTGTGTCATATTTATATACTATTTGATTGATAGTTAACACACACTTTGATTAATTTAATTGAGAGATAAGTTGCACTTAACATAAAAATTTTATAAACAAAGCACTATGAAATGATAATCAGTCCAGTTGTGACATTAATTCAAATATAGATTAAGTCCAAAATTGTTTGCTTTAATCTTAAAGCCATTTAACTGAGTATATAAAGAAGTTCACAATATTTACTCAAATCAATAAATATCTGAAAGTGTTGTAAAAATTTTGTTCAATTGAATCGTTGACCAGAAAATGGTTGACAACCAGAAGTCAAACGTGAAACATATCGCTGACATAGTGGGTGAATGGTATTTACAATTAATTCATATTTCATTAAAATTAATCACATAAATGTAATTGGAATATTTTAAATAAGTTTGTGTCATATTTATATACTATTTGATTGATAGTTAACACACACTTTGATTAATTTAATTCAGAGATAAGTTGCACTTAATATAAATTTTTTATAAACAAATCAATATATCCCAAAGATAAAGCACAAATATAATCAGGCTGATTAAATCAGCCCAGTTGTGATATTAATTCAAATATAGATTAAGTCCAAAATTGTTTGCTTTAATCTTAAAGCCATTTAACTGAGTATATAAAGAAGTTCACAGTATTTACTCAAATCAATAAATATCTGAAAGTGTTGTAAAAATTTTGTTCAATTGAATCGTTGACCAGAAAATGGTTGACAACCAGAAGTCAAACGTGAAACATATCGCTGACATAGTGGGTGAATGGTTATTTACTCAAATCAATAAATATCTGAAAGTGTTGTAAAAATTTTGTTCAATTGAATCGTTGACCAGAAAATGGTTGACAACCAGAAGTCAAACGTGAAACATATCGCTGACATAGTGGGTGAATGGGGAAAATGGCAATTGCACCTGGCCAGTTTTTCCTTCATTCTATGGGCAGTAGCTGCTATCAATAACATGGGATATAGTTTCCACGCTTATGATAATGATTTTTGGTGCAGTGATGTTCCTTACGATTATCCGGTAAAATATTTATTATCGTTAAAGTTATTTTTAAATAATGTTTATACTACTTGTGAATAAATTTATAAAATATAACAAGAGTACTTTAAATTTTATAACTAGAATATTTGTTTTCTGTACTTTACAAAGTTTATATACTTAGGTTTACTTTCAACATTACTTACCGTTATGCTAGCCTGTTTCAAACCTTTGAGATAATTATCACTTCATTTACGAATAATTATTTTGAACATATTTTGTATTGATTATAATTTTGTTATCTTTAACTTAGTGTGTGACCGAGTTAATTTCGCGTCATTTTCGCAAACATTGTATATGTTGGGGTACGTCATATCGGGACTGGTATTCTCACATTATTCAGATAAATACGGCCGAAGACCTATTGTATGGCTGGGATTCACAATAGAGTTG